ACATGCCTAAAGTATTAAATGCATTATTGAGTAGGAGGGTGAATTCTATGTCTCCCCCAACAGATGTTCGGTGCAACATGTTCTACAAATATAAAGTCATTCAAATATATGATCACGAAACCATAATGTTGATGATATTTCCTCATCCTTGACAATATATTATTTGCATTTGCTTTTGAATTTGCTTGTATCCTTCCTATGCCGATGATTAATATAAATGCATGGCAAGTAAGCACGGTAAGAGGCAGATTCTATTGTGAAATGCCTTTGGAATAAATATGTTTTGTTCTTGGCTTTAAGCTAGTGGTTGGCTTGGTGTTTGGGCTAATTTCCTTTTATCATTTGCTCATGCAATTTTATACAAGCTAATACTATATATTTGTATCATTAATAGGTTATCTCTGTTTTCCATTAATGCTATATATTTCCATTTTCCATCATCACACTTTACATGTTCAAAGACTTATCCTTTTTCATTTGTACTCACTTTTGTAGTTGATGATATTGTTCAATTGATCCTATGCATTTCTTCTTATATTAAAAACTTGGTAGAATTTAATGGGAAAAGGAAAGAAAAGATATCTTTGTACGTAGAGTTGATGTAAGATTGATGTAGGAGTGACTAACTTTCATTTTGGATTTCTTTCTTTCCATGACCATAAGATAACAGACCAGTTCATTCATTTGTTTATGAATAATAGAAACAAGAGATGGTTATGAATAATAGATCAGTTCATTCACCTTCACAGCTTCTTGGATTTGGCGAGTTCAATTTGAGAATGTTGGCAGCTTATTCAAGAGGTGGTTTGAATATAAATCCTGGGCAGGCTCAACAAGTTCATCATCCATTGGAGCTACAGCAGCAGCATATTCAAGATAATGACAGTGGAGAAGATGACCCAAATACTTCTCAATGAGAGTATATATAGATAGGTAGATAGATTTTGAAATCTGAATTTGGTTAGTGAACAATTACCCGAGTAATTATTTATTGAGTGAGCAAATTTTTGATGTATATATATTTATTGATCTAATTATCTCGTATTGTGAAAACTAGACTTGCATAACAATTAGACTCAAAAATCGAGTACGTAAGTCAAGTACGTAACGATATGCAAAGCACAACACTCGAGGCTACATTATTAAAGATAAGGTTTAAGATATGTTGGAAAAAAAATATTTTAAGATTCATCAACTTTAAAATTTATATGTTATTTAGGGCTTGTTTGGTAACACTAAAAATCCAATTAAAATTGAAAATGTAGTCGTTATTGGGTCCCACCGGTCTAATAAAAGTCAAGAATAACGGCTAATTTTTCAATTTTAATCCGATTTTAATCTCTACCAAACACACTCTTAATATTATATTAACATTAAA